GGCTCCAGACACTCTGTTTCGTCATAAATCATCATGTTTATTCAAACTGAGCACATGCTTCACTTAAATTTCTGAGGATTTCAGATACTGGGTTTTTAAATGTGTTTTTTATATAGTAGCCTAAATGTAAATTAATAAATAAATAATTTGTATTATTTAAAATTAGGAATCAACCAATCCGATGAACTTTGGACTGTCCAGTTGAGTTGTTTCTTAACACAGATTATTTTGCTTGTATGATTTCTCCACCATGTATTAGGGGTGGGGTAAAAATCGATACAGTATAGTATTGCGATATTTTCCGCAGCAATACTGTATCGATACACGGACGCCAAGTATCGATCTTTTATTATATTATTTATTATCAATTTCTTTACAATCCACTATATGGTGGTGTTGAGTTTTTTTCTGGAGAGGTCAGCTGGGTCACCTTCAGCATGCAGTAAGTTAGTAAAATAAAGAGGGCGGAATTGTGGAAAGTTATCAGGAAAGCCCCGTCCGCGTTTAAATCGGATGTATGTACTTACTTCGGATTTGTAAACAAGGAGGGGATGTAAGTAGGGATGCACCGAAAATAAAGGCTACATATAATAATAATAATATATATGGCGCGCCACGTCGCGCCCTGCCCGGCAGTGTTCAGCGCGCATGTTTCACTCTCCTCATCACTGCACGGTTTGACGCTCCGCTCAATATTCCCATCTATGAATGTGCGTTCTGCTTGTGTACTGCTCATGCTCATCGGAAAAGCAAAGTCCGCTCAAATAACGCGCTGACAGGAAATTTCTATGCAGTATAGGCCTGCTTGTTCCGGTTTGCAGTAGCGCTACTGTGCTGTAACATGGTATAGGCTAGTTCAGCTGTACTGGGCAACGCTGCTAAAATAACGCTACCTTCAGTGACGCTATGCTCTGCTCATATGCTCTGATAATAATAGCTTTGTAGGACTATACATTATTTGGCTAATTAGTAAAAAAAAAAAAAAAAAAAAACAACTTATATCTGATTCTGTCACATAGAAGTGAATACAAATAATATATTGATATTTAATATTAAGGTAACACTTTTCAATAAGGTTCCATTAGTTAATGTTAGTTAATGTATTAACTATCATGAACAAACTATGAACAATACATTTATTACAGTATTTAATAATTTTTCTTAATGTTAGTTAATGAGAATACAGTTATTCACTGTTAGTTCATGTTAATTCAGAGTGCATTAACTGTTAACAAGCACAACTCTTGATTTTAATAATGCATTAGTAAATGTTGAAATTAACATGAACTAAGATTAGTAAATGCTGAAGAACTATTGTTCATTCTTAGTTCATTAACTAAAGTAGTTAACTAATGAACCTTATTGTAATGTGTTACCAATAATAATATAAATTCTGTCCAGTTTTATTGTGTTATTTTCAGTAAAATTTTGGTTATTTTACTGGCTTGTGTTTTTTTAAATTCAGTATAATTAAAATTGAGTTAAATTAAAAAAGTCTTACAAAATTACTTTATATTATTTAATAAAATCATAAATAATCATTACAAAGTGTCAGGGGCTGGCGTCTGGTGTTCTCCCTCTCACCACCAGAGGTCGCCATCTCCCATCCTCCCGGACTCTTTCTCCGTCACCTTGACACCACACACCTGGGCACCCACTCACACACACACACACAGCTGTCGCCCATCCGGGACTCCGTCACCTTGACACCACACACCTGGGCACCCACTCACTCACTCTCACACAGCTGTGGCCCGTCATGAGGACTATTTAGGCGCCTTCCCCACGCCACTCGGGGCGGATAATTAAGGTTTGGTTGAGTTGTGTTACGAGTGTTTCGAGTGTCTGTTCCGGGACTGATGCAAGCCAGAGGTGGCCGTATTGCATCAGTGCCCATTTGCGTGTTCTAGCCTGTTTCAGAGTCTTAGCTCTGTTTATGTTCTGTTTGTTTACCTTTGTTTTCCCTGGCAGTGAATAAAACCTGCATTTGGACCCAAAACCCTTGCTCACACGGTGTGTCTTTCCTGACGGTCCCGTGACAGAATTATCCGCCCAAGCATGGGTCAAGCAGGAAGGTTCCTCGCGCACGTGCCCGCGCACGACAAGTGCATCCAGAATTTTCGGTTTCCATTTTGGCCCAGAATTTTCATTTCGGTGCATCCCTAGATGTAAGACTACGTGTTGTATTTAATTTTATTTAAATTTAACAGTAATTTACTTAAAATGCCCCAATTGCTCAAGGGTCTGCACAACTTTTTAGTACAATTTCAAGTTGCACTGTTCATAATACCTATAGTAGCACAGCAGTGCATACCTGTTTACATTTAATTAAGGTGGACTAGATTAGACTGTAATACAAATAGTTGAGTTTGCCAGGTGCATACAACATTTATGACAGGTTTTCAATGCAATATATTTATTTATATATATATTTCACGCAGAATATCGCAATATATTTAAAATCGCAATAATATTGTATCGTGACACAAGTATCGTGATAATATCGTATCATGAGGCCTCTGGTGATTCCCACACCTACCATGTATCAAAGTGTACTGTCACGCTGCTGCTACTGTGGGTCGGAGCGAGGAGACGGCGGGAATCCAGAAATAATGAACTTTATTTTAACACCCAGGAACACACACATAGCACAGGAATCGACGAACATTCAACAAGTAGACCCGACAAAACCAAACTGAAGAGACTGGGGCTTATAAACACAGGGGAATGAGGATAATTAACTAAACACAGCTGGGAACAAATGAAGAATTAATCGGGGAATATAATGGGAACAGAAAGGACCAAATAAGGGCATAAGGAAACACTTGGGGAGCAAAACACACAAAACACGGAATGGGGTCTGACAAATATGTTGTCTGACATTTATAAAGCACTGATAAATATTTAAAAAGGTGTTTATTTTAGTTTTTTTGGTTATGTCTTATCTTGCCTAAGGCACCAAGTGAGCCAGGACTGGCACTAATGCACCCTCAAAAAATTGGTTCATGATGCCTCTACTGAACCATGCCACATCTCAGGCCCGTAAGACAGACTCCTCCATGCTGAACCAAAAACAAATACTGATAAGACTGACAAACTTCCCATGATGAACCACACATAGCACCTGATGTCCATAGATTGACCATTTAGTATTACGCAACATATCATTATCAAACAAATATCTCAAACAGGATCTCTGTGTATAGAGGTAAATATGTTACTGTTTATTATTGTACACTCTTAAAAATAAAGGTGCTTCAAAAGGTTCTTCAAGCGATGCCATAGAAGAACCATTTTTGGTTCCATAAAGAACCATTCAGTCAAAGGTTCTTTAAAGAACCATCTCTTTCTTACCTTTTTATAATCTGAAGAACCTTATTTCACCCCAAAGAACCTTTTGTGAAACAGAAAGGTTCTTCAGATGTTAAAGGTTCTTTATGGAACCATTTAGACAAAAAGGTTCTTCTATGGCATCATGAAGCACCTTTATTTTTAAGAGTGTATGTTCGTCATCGCTCTCATGAAGGTTCAACTGGACTTGTTTTGGGGCATTTAGCTTGACATTTCCAGGCTGTCTCAGGGTTTCACAACAAGCTAAGAAGGTTAGATGCATCCGAAGGGCATCGAGTTTGAGACGGAGCACAGATGTCAATATAACAGAGAAATCAGTCTGAGTGGATGTTCCAGAGGAGTGCACGAGGATGTGTGTACACTCACGTGTGTGTGGCCGTGTATTACAGCACATGAAATTCAGCTACACTATTCAAGGATAGGAAATATCTATTACATAAAAACAAGTAGATAGAATAGAAAAAATAGAAAGCTAGTGTTTGCTTGTTTTTTAAAATAAAAATAAAAAAGAAGATAAATATAGATAAAGTAGAATTAAAATAGAATAGAAAGTGTTAAGAGTTAGAGGGTCAAATAAAGGTGGAACATATGTGTTTTTAGTTATTATATATACAGTATATGATCTATATATTAGCTATTAGAGTAGAACATTTTAGTAGAGAGAGCTGGGACTTTAAATCAGCCAATGGGAATGGTCAGGTCAAACTATTGAACTTTATGGATTATTTATATGTTATGTAATATTTATATGAGGTTTTCAGTGGCTAATATAGACATCTGGAGAGTGGGTGGCTGATATATATGGTATATAATATTCATATGTTTTTTAAAAACCATCCAGATGGTAAAGAGATTAGTAAAAAGATGGAGAAATGGGTAGAATATTACTCCAAGCTACACTCCAGAACTGTCACCAATGAATGGTCATCATGCGACAACTGGACACAGAAGTAGCCATGATTAGAGCAGTTGCCTGAAACCCCACTACATTGTTGTCATTGACTTAAACAAAAGAGGAGCCTCTTTTAAATCCTTCAGAAGGCAGGTGGTCTCCTAGACTGCACATAATCATCAAGCTCCTCCAAGAGAACATGAAGGAAAAGCTTTTTAGTTGCTTAAAACACCTGCAGCGACCAAACCATAATGGAAGAGTCTAAAATACACACCAACAGAGCTTATCTACAAGCTTTAATAACTCAGATAACAAGAACCAGAACCCTAGGGTGCTTATCAGGAGCTGCTTTCTGGCAGTAATGCTTCCACTGCCAGATGCAAGAGGCAACAACTCAATCCTTCTAAGTACCCAATGGACTGGCTTGTATGACATTGGCTTGACCATCTTCATAAAGAAAAAAACACTGTGTTGTAGATTACATTACACAAAAAACGTTTGCCACAATGCTGAAATCCACAAACATCCATTATTGCACAGCATACCACATTGTTAAGAAAACGAACAACTTACTGCTGAGACCGAGACAACAGTGTACAATGTTTCTTTAGTATATCATCTAACTAAATGTCACACAAGTGTGGAGTGTCCTGACAGTTTGCATGAATAAAACTGATGAATATTTAATGTCATATACAAAAATATTTATGTGGTGAATATTACATTTTTTAATTTTTATTGTTATCTATAGTCTTACCTTAAATGCTGTTTCAGCCTCTTGCTGTGCTGTTCTGTGAGAGATCCAGTGTGCCGCTACTCTCTGTCCTCTGTCTTCCACTGAAAAGAAAGTGACACACTGAGATGATGGGAGGGGATAAGTGTTTACTGACATTTAAGCCTCACTTTTAGGGTAATTGACATATAAGAGTGTCCATGATAGAGAAAAGGAAAAATCTTTTCAAAATCTACCTAGTTTAAAATGCATGTGATACATTCTTAGAAATGTACTCTTTGTATTCATCTTGATTTCATCTTGCTTTCAACAAAAGTTTAATGACTCTAAAAAGTCATGTGGTATAACCATCAAGAAAAAAGTACAAAGAAAAACATTTTCCTTACATCTTAAATACATGTTAGCCTACATGTGAGCATTACTGTCACGAATCCGGTCCATGAACTTCCAATTTCATTGACTCTCGCACCACACACTGTTGCACATCACCCCGGACTACATTTCCCATCATGCATTGCACTGATTGCACTCAGCACGGATTGCACACAGCTGTTCACACTGATTGCACCCAGCTGTTTCATATCACTGTCTGCCTCTGTTTGACCCTGCCTGCTTTATGACCATGTCTCTGTCTTCTCCACAATAAAAGCTTTGCGAATGGATCCGCACGTCTCGTCAGCCCTGTAACAATTACTTTCAAAAAGTTTTTTAATTTACACTACCATTCAAAAGTTTGAGGTCAGCAAGATTTGCATTAAATTGATCAAAAGTGAACATTTTAATGTTACACATCCATTTCAAATAAAAGCTGATTCATTTGAATTTCTACCCATCAAAAAAATCATAAATAATACATAGCAGTTTGCACAAAAAGTAGCACATATGCTGCCATGAAACTCTAGATGGTGCAGGCTGATGGGTCGTTAAAGGTGGGGTATGTATTTTTTCAAAAACACTTAAGAAAACTGAGTCGGGCCGAGTACCAAAACAAACTTGTAGACGCCGAGGTTGCTTTGTTTCTTCTCGCTAGGTGAGTAAAATTGGTTTTGCTTCGTTTCAGAGAACTAATATTTGCTGGTTTTTGCTTGAATATGCTCGTGTGTCATGTTCGCTTGTTTGTTCATCTGCAATCATATTGTCGTTCCCTCAGCTATGATAAAGACACATTCATTTCCACAACCTATAAGCTTGGAGCGTCTAAACCTCCTCCAATGTCTGTTTCAAGCGTCAGCTCCCAAAATGTGTCCGAAAAGTAAGATAACATGTTTAATACAGCAGATAATAATACAGCAGATTCCGCCATAATCGTTGCCTGGGTTGCATATGTATGTGTGGGGTGAAGCTATCAAAATAGGGGTGAGACCCTTTTGCGGTAGGGGCGTGTTTATTTTGGTGATTTGAAATATCAACATTGGCTACCAGAAATCACTTACCCCACCTGTAATGCATTGCAAACTGATGATATTCACACCGTTTAAGGGGTCATGAACTGAAATAAAAAAAAATGTATTATTTTGTTCTGAGCTTTGAGGTCCACATATAATGTTATCAAGATTTTTACATTAGAAAAACATCATAATTTAGAGGTAATAGGCTATTTTCTGTCCAATTTTGAGTTCTGAAACTTACAGGATGTTTTTATAGTACAATGACCTCTTATATGTCAAAAGATAAAGGGAATTTTGATATCTCAGTTCATGACCCCTTTAAACTACTTGGCACAAGTTTGTTTGGTTCATGTTGCATATGCAGCCAATGAACTTGCTGCTTTACATTGAAATGGCTGGTTAGCATTCACTATAGAGCATTTCACAGAGTTCCTCTGAAACCCTCCCCCTTCCCCAGCTCCACCTGTATAGATCTGCTACGGGTTATTATATATGCTATTTGTGCAGCAGCAATACTGTATGTCTTAAATACTCACAGCACCGTATTGACATGTATCGGCAGTAAAAAGTTATTGTACTTGCTTTGCAGCAGCAGAAATAATCTACAAAAGCAATAACCAACAGCAGCAGCAATTCAGCAGCGTAGCAGATCTATTCCGCCAAGACCAAATACATTAACATTGTAATATCCATTACCATGCTAAAATCTTCTGAGAGTTGTCATGATAGAACTGTTTTCATTTTGATATTAATAAGAAATGTTTCTTGAACACCAAATCAGCATACTAGAATAACTTCTGAGGGTTTATATTACTGGTAATGGCTGCTAAAAAATTTAGCAGGAATAAATTAGGATTTAGTTGGAAACAAATACATTTAAGATATATAAAATTATTACTGATCCCAAACATTTGAACATTAATGTATTTTTAATAGATATTTTAACAAATATCTTGAATTAATTCATTTCAATAAAGTTTTGAGTGGTTATATCATAATACATTTTTCCTGACCTTGTGTCATGTCACAATAAAAAAGCCAAATGATCTGAGACTTATTGAAATAGAGGCATGGTCTGGTTTCAGTGTGCACCCCGAGATGAAATTCTGCAGGCGCCCCAGACTACTAACCATGTTTGTGCTTTTATCAAGCCTGAAACCTTATGAAAGTTGAACATGGACGTGTTACTTATGAGAGTACAATATAGTTTGGCAATCTAGGCCTGGTATTAAGTTAATCAACTCTAAAGAGGCAGCTGAAAGTGGGCAGTAGGTCAGACTATTAATCTCCCTCAATCACTCATGATTAAGAGGAATAATCATCCTTATAAATCATTTTGTACATCTCAGCTTTCATGCACTTGATTTAAACCTCTTGAGGGATCCAAAATTAGACACTAAAATTACAAGCTTTTACAAGTTGATTATCAGCACAGCAAAACTAGCTATTCATTCTCCCTGTAAAAAAAGAGGAGAACAAGAAGAGAGAGGTAATGAGAGGTGTGGAATTTTTTCTTACCTCTCTTTTCCTCAACGATAGCACTTTTCTTTGCAAAAAAGAAACAAATAAGCATCCCCTCTCAGCTTGATCCCAGACATTTGGGGTCTCACACAGAACTGTCATGCACACAAATGTGGAAAAATAAGATTGTTACTGACCTTGCCATATCCATTTATGGCTGGAGTTTATAAAATATGACACGCGGTAAAAGGAAGCAATAGAATTCATCGGGAGGGGAGTGTGTCGCCATGCTCCTCACAAGACCATCCTTTTTCCAATTTGATTTTCTATTTCCAAAAAGTAATGGTCTCATCTCTTCTAATGCTAAAATATCTGACTCGTCTAAAATCAGCACGATCTAAATCACTGCGGCTTGTCAGTCAGAACGCAATGTGTCGCAAACTCTATTCTGGTTGTGACCGCAGCTCTTTTCCACAATAAACATCATCAAAGGCCAAGTTTGAGTTCTGGGGACGTAAAATAATCAGCCTGTCGCCTGCACAACATAAATCCAGAGAATCCATCAACACAGACTATGGCTCTCTAGAGAAACCCATTTTCCAAAACTAATAGGTTTAGAGAAGGCATTAGCTGCAAGCCAGCCTAAGACATTGTTCCCAAAGAATGATCTAAGAAGGCCAGAGCCGGCTTGAGGGCAGTTGCTCTTCAAACACAGTGAAATTGACCTTCCTCTGGTTGACAATTATCTGCCCGTCAAGTCACTCAACTGCCATGGGGGTCCCAAAGAGCCTTACTTTTTCACTTCCTCTCTTCCCAGGCATTTTAGGAACAGACCTCAGGAGAAAAGTAGAAGTCTGCAGGAGAATTAGTATTCTTCCTCTTTCTACTATCCGTTCACTCAACTCTTTTGCTTTCCTTTGGAGTCTCATTACTACAAAGAAAAAATTAAATGTAGCACTTCATATTTCTAATTACTTCACAAATTAACTTACATATTTTCCTCAATTTATGTACACCCTAAAAAGGATTAAGAAGGCATATTAAAAATTGTGATTTCCTCATATTTTAACACCTCCACACAGGAATGTGTGTAAAATCTTTGATTTCCTGATTCTCACGCCTCATTACCGTGATGAACAATATTGAGGTCAGACCTGAGGATGGGGTAGGTTGAGTGTAACTGACAGATCTGACCGGATGTCAGCTTTAAAATGTCACAAATGAAATATTGCACCAGACGTTACAAAAGCAGGTTACACCCATAATGTGTTCTAACTGAGTGTATCCAGATATCCAGCATAGATGTAAGAAAGCACATAAGATCCATAAAGCAACATTGCTGTTAGGATTACATATCGATCACCAAGTGAGGACAGAATACAAATAGAGAGAAAAACAGATGAGATGATTATGATTTCCTGTCACTACTGAGAGAGATAGAAGGAGAGCGAGAGATGAAAAGGGTATTTAAAATTTGCGACTGATATGGGTTCTTCAAGAGAGTGGCCAAATGGCTGGTACAACACTGACAGTCTACCTAATACAACTTAATCAAAAACAAAAACGCTTAAATGAAATAAAATGAAATAAAAGATTTCAAATAAAAAAATGTGAACAAATGTTTGACAAAGAAACATTAGCACAACTAATGACGTGTGTTTGGGATGTGGCTATCTGTTCCTTCAGAACTTCAGACTTCAGAAATGAATTAAAAAACTTTAATTGCAATACATTTTCAACATTGTTTATTGGCAAGGATTTGCACAAGATCATGTTAACCCTTAGTGTCTGTATCCTACGATACAGACATTTGAGAAATTGGGCATAACGACAGTGTAAAACTTTGTCAAATCTGGTATGTAACTCTGGCATCAACACACAATCTCAACATTTGAGTAAATAAAAACTTTATGCTGGTGATTAACTGGCCTGACCTATATGTCAGTCTATCACAGCAGCTGTCTGACTATGTGAGGAATTCCACACATCATCTGTGTGATTGACCAATCTATAGACTATTGCTGAGAGACAGGGACTAAAAAAAACATGTCAATATCAGATTGAAAGGAAAAATCTGCAATTTAGTAAGTCCAAAACACTCTAAAAGATGCTGTATGGTGCAGATGACGGACTATGATTGTGTGTGTGTGTGTGTGTGTGTGTGATAAACTGGCACAAGATTGAATGTTGCTTCTGTGTGGGGGATCTCTTCTCTGAATTGTGCCTGGTGTGTGTGTGAGAGAGGAGACAGAAAGAAAGAGAGATAGAGAGGTTTGAATGGAACTGTCTCTATAGCTGTTTCCAGGGTGC